AAGATCACGGCTCATGTAAAGGAAAGTTTTTCACAGACGAATTTAATGATGGGATTTTATGATTTTATGACTATTTATTTTAATTCGAAAAACAACAGAACGTTGAGAGGAAAAATTTTTGAGTCACGAAGCCGCGTTTGTTTCAATCGCACATAACCAGTTATTGCTATATTAGGATGACACGATTACACCACTAGCCTACACTTTCATAAAATGTGTATTCAACTTACCAGCTCCACATCGGCTGTAGAACCAAGAGAGTCGCACAAGTTCGTAAGGGTCTTTCTGATGGTTGCAGTTCCACACTGACTGTTAAAATGATGAGCGGTACCAAGAAAACTTTCACACACGGAAAGTAGCAATGTGCAGCCTTTGCCGCTGCAAGGATTTGATAATGGTGCCAGTAATCCTGGTGACCCTCGATCACCTTTCATTCCAACTTCTCCGTTCTGTCCTGTTCTTCCTCTCCTGCCTGCAAGCCCAGGCGTACCTGGGTCCCCTTGAAGTCCCCTAGGCCCGTGTAAACCTAAGTTGCCTTTCTCACCTTTTATCCCAGGCACTCCGCCAATCCCTGTATTACCTCTGTCTCCTCTAGGTCCAGGATCTCCAGGCCTTCCACGAGCACCTGAAAGTCCAACATCACCTTTAGATCCCATCGGTCCTTCCCTTCCAGGATCGCCTTTCTCACCAGATAATCCTCTATTTCCTTTCGTCCCGGGTTCTCCTTTAATTCCATCTGATCCCTTTATGCCTACCGTTCCTGGAATTCCAAGATTCCCTTTCTGCCCAGGAACACCTTGTGGTCCCCTTGCCCCCGGAACTCCCACATCTCCTTTATTTCCTGCATTTCCTGGGTCTCCTGGTAAACCTCTTGCTCCAGTTGATCCTTGATCGCCTTTGATGCAGCTTCTTCCATCTAGCCCTCGATCTCCTTTACTTCCTGCATCTCCTTTGAGCCCCCCAATTCCCGGTAGACCTGAATCACCTCTAAAACCGCGCGGACCTGCTGTTCCAGGTGGTCCCGTAGCTCCAGGACTACCACCATCACCCTTCGGTCCGGGTTCACCTTTCTGACCTGATGGTCCTGGCGGACCAACAGGTCCGACTCGGTATAACATTCGTGCCGCAGAGTTACTATTTGGCACTGTCACTCCACCGTTCGCACTTGTGAGCTGGCGCGAGCCTGCAAAAATGTCAAAACAAATTTAGTGATAGTCTACTGTACCGTGCATTCACTTTAAACAAATGTTTTGATTTAATATAAGGTCTGTTAAGTGGCCTCAATCTTCAATTAAGAGGAAACAATTTTGGTAGACGCCGATCAATATCCTGTTGTTCATGACTCCCTTGCCGCTAAGATGAAGGAATTAAGCGTCAATCAATCAGTTTCAATGACCCTTATGTTTTGGTCTGCGGAGACAGGCGCGTCACACAGTCACTCCGACGTTACTGATCTATTTTCCAGTGTCTCAGAGTAAGCCGAATATAACCCTAGCCGGAAGCTGAGTCTGTCCAGTCACTCAAATCAGGTCATCCTTGGTCGTCCACGTAACTTCCGGCCGGCTTTTTGAACGATTAGTGTTTGTTTCGCCATCCATCATGGAGGCATTCGCAAAACCTGCCCAAACCATCACAGCTGAGACTTCTCAAGCTGAATACTCACACATATACATGGAGACTGTATTGAATATCTTAACTCCGGACCATATCGAGACTGATGGTTCCATTGCTTTATCTGAAAAAGCCCATTTCAACCGCTTCTACCAGAGATTGAAACTTTTATTAATGGTCCACAACCCGTGGCTGCAAGTGATGGACTTGAACACAAGTAAGTTACAGTATATCTTATCATATGTCGATCAGGAACGTTGGAGTGAATGCAATTTAATTTTAACAACCTATTTGTTATATTTCATACAAATGATTGTACGTATGTAGAATCGAACGTTGAAAAAAAATGTTAATCAGACACAACGAACTACGAGTATCGATAGTT